CATGCCTTAAAAATTTCTAAATGACCATACTATTTGTTCTTCCTATTAGCATGACTACATTCTATAACTTTTCATCATTAAATTATACCTGAACATATTCTTATTAAGTGATGATATATAAATATAAAATTTAAAAATAAATTTTCAAAAACAATGATATAGCTTAATGGTGATCTTTCAGTTTAAAACAAAATATCCATAAACATGATTTATATTTATAACAACATTACTATCACAATATTTTATGATATTTTTTATATAAATTTTTATATATGAATAAATTTTTTTATTTTTTATTTTTATTTTCACCATCATTTTTCTTTCTCGTCTATTCACTCACATTTATTACAGTATTATCAAATATCGTCATTTACATTTATTACAGTATTAGTAAATTTTTATATTTTTGCATTTTTTTTATATTTGGTGAATTTAAAAAAAAATACAAAATATTATACTTGTTAAGTATATCTAGATTATGTGTATCTAAACATTAAAGAAAAAAATTGCTTAAAATATTTTAAAAAATTTAGTGAAAATAAAAAAACACAAAAAATAAAATTTAATTTTTTGTGTGAGTTAAACCAAAGAAGATGATTGTTATTTCTCTTGAAATGACATAAACAAAATATTAGCATTATTTTATTATTATATATGTATAACAGGTAAGGGATAAATATGTCATTTTAATCTGACAGAGCGGTAAGTGGAATTTTTCAAACATAAAAGGGGTTTTGCATTAAACAGAAACCTCAGGAGATATGAGTGTAATTTATCATAATTTTATTTAAATGATATATATAAAGAGCATGTGAAATAAACGGTTCAAATTATCAAATTAAAACCATTGATTAATCTCAGGAGCCCAAACAATCACGTTTGGTCACGTTATAAATTGGAGGAAATTCAAATCCTTAAATTAACAAATCACATCTCCTTCGTATATAAAACAAATATATTTGGACTATACAAACTTAAGCACGGTCTTTTACAAAACCAATTGAAATGAGTTAAAATAATTTAATTTAGACTAAAATAATTAACAAGATAAAATATTTTAAAATATTATTATTTTTTACACATTTTTTTATAAAAAAATAATTAAAATAGAAAATTTTCAACGAGGCCTAACCATATTCTAATGATTGGTAATTTCTAACAGACAAACTTATGACGCGAGGAGGGTGGACCCCGGTGGTGAAGCAAAGATGGAAGCAAGAAGCAAGGAGATCAGTGGGCAATATAGTATTCTTCACGGTGTTCGTGAACAACCTGCCCAGCTCAATGGATACCAAAGGCTTGTTCAACCTGTTCGGGAAGTTTGGAGTTGTAAAAGACATATTCATTCCGCAGAAGCGTAGAAGAAACACCAATACCAGATTTGGGTTCGTTAGATATAGCTGTGAAGTAGCAGCAAAAGTTGCTGTACAAAAGGCTAACGGTCTTTGGGTGGATGATAAAAAACTCTTCGTCAAATTTGCAGCTTTTGATAGAAGCAGAGAACAGGGGAAGTTCTTTGCTCAAAACCCAGCCCAACACTTACACCCCAGAGAGGAGGTTAGGAGAGGCTCAATTCATTTCACCAGCAAGAACACATTTGCAGATGTGGTAAGAGGTACTCAGGTTCTAGCCAGTGACTCCAACACAGTTAGAGCAGAGGAGTATGGCAATGGATGGCTCTACGACAGCGTCTTAGTCCGCCTTAAAGTCAGTCATATTAACATTAGTTTGAAGTACGAACTTAATGCTAGAGGAGTTGATGGATTTGAAGCCAAAACAGGAGACGGTCGCGATGTGGTGCTAACCTTCAACTCCAAGGAGGAAATGAGTACAAAGATGAAGGTCATCAAGGACATTATCGAAGAATGGTGTGAAGCCATCATCCAATGGAGTCCACAGGTTGCTCTGGCACAGGAGAGAATAGTTTGGATTCGTTGTTACGGCATTCCATTACATTTATGGAATAGGTCCAATCTCATTAAGATTGGAAGCATTTGGGGAGAAGTTATTGAAGGTACTGATTGCATGCTCCAATCTCTTGGTTGTGGTAAGATCAGGATTCTTACCAAATGCATGGAACCTATTAACAAGGTCATAAACCTGGAGGCGAAGCTTTCCTCTCATCCAGTTAGAGTACTGGAAGTTCTGGTCCCAGAAGATATAACAGTTAATCAATGTTGCAGTTGTTTGAATCCTGCTGGGGTATTCCTGTCTTGGTGCATTGGAGACCTGCTGTTCTGTCTAGTGGGCTGCTTGGTTGATAACTTTCCAACCTTATTGCCCTGTTTTGCTTTGGCTGTGTCAAAAACAAGAAAAAATATAATCTGGCTCTGCTCTGGGTTGCTGATCTGGCTTTGTTATGGGATGTTATTGATCTTTATCAATAAAACTTGCTCTGGGCTGCTGCTGGTATGGAGTTTGGTGCTTACATTTGTTATGGGCTGGTTTATGGAGTCTGCTGCTGATATGGAGTCTGATATGGAGTCTGCTGCTGATCATTGCTGGTATGGTGTTCGAGGCTGCTGGTATGGTGTTTGGGGAGTACAACTGTATTATGCTTTCTTTTGGGTTGGTGTCTTACCAACTGTGAGAGTTGTTAGCCTTTGCTCTTTGCCTTTTTATTGATAATTGTCAATGTTTTTGCTTGATATTTATCTATAAAATTCCTCTTTGGCTGTTTCAAAAAAAAATATTCTAATGATTGGTGTTTTCACTATATTTAGTTGAATAATTTGATAAAGAACGTAGAAAGGGAAATAAAAATAAAAAGACAAAGACAAAGAGTTGATAGAATTTATGTTTGGTTAAGTTGGAAAATGAAAATCAAAAAGAGCCTAAGTGAACTCAAAAGACAAAAAGTAATATTACATTTTCCTTTCACTTTTTTTTATTTATTTTATTATAACAAAAAAGAAATGTTAGATTGTATTTCTTTATCCGTTTATGTTCCTCTCATCAAATCCTTCTACCAAACTTAGAGCATCCGTGTTAGCCTTACCAAATGTAATTTTTAGTCAAATATAACTAGTAAATTATAAAATTATTATTTTATCAATTTCAACAAATTATTTTTAAACTATTTTTTGATTAATTTTGCTACAATACCTCAACAATTCATTAGTTATTCAATAATTTATTAGTTTTTTTGATAGATATGTTTCTTAAATACTATTTATTGAAAGGATATTTAAAATTATATAAATATAAAAAATAAATCAGAGTAAATATTTTAATAAAATTAAATTTTAAAATGAATTGAGAGATGCTAAATTAGAACTCTCCGACAATTTTTCTTGATAACAAGCCTTCGTTTGATATGATAATGGCTTATTTTGGGAAGATGGTAAAAAATCAACAAATTATTTTTAAACTATTTTTTGATTAATTTTGCTACAATACCTCAACAATTCATTAGTTATTCAATAATTTATTAGTTTTTTTGATAGATATGTTTCTTAAATACTATTTATTGAAAGGATATTTAAAATTATATAAATATAAAAAATAAATCAGAGTAAATATTTTAATAAAATTAAATTTTAAAATGAATTGAGAGATGCTAAATTAGAACTTTCCGACAATTTTTCTTGATAACAAGCCTTCGTTTGATATGATAATATTTGGTGGGAAAAAGTTAGGGATTATGAAATTTTTTTTATGAAAATGATTATGAAAAATTTATGATTCTTGAATTATCTTGATTAATGTTTGGTATTTTATTCTAAGTGTAATTTAAGGGTCACAAAATTTTTATGATTATTTTTATGAAAAGATATTTGTAACAGTATTTTGTAACCAGTGAAATGAAGGGGACTCGACTTTTTCTTCTATTTTGGGTAAACTTTTCTTCCTTTTTTGGGTTAGCTCTCAGCTATATGATATTACCCCCACAAATCTGTACATAGACTGTATAGTATCTCTCCATATCTCACCTTTTTCTCAAGACAGAGGTGAAAGAGAGAGAAACGCAGAGAGAGCGCACTATAGGTAACGGCGTTGATTTGGCGGCGTTTAAAAAAACGCCTCTATTTCTAATATTTTACGGCGTTTTTTAAACGTCGCATTCTTATTGACTTAATATGACACCGTTTTAACTTCCGAAAACGCCTTCAAATGTTTTTTGCTTTTTTTTTTTAACGTAAATAGCATGTTCTCTCTCTCTCTCTCTCTCGCTCTCACTGTACCCTGATTTCACTTTCTCTTGCTTCAAGCCCTTTCGTTTCTCTCGATTCAAACCCCTTCATTTATTAATCGATTAATCTGCAACCCTTCTCTTCAAGTATTCGATTCACCCCTTCGTTTATTCGATTCAAGTATTCGTAGATCGTCGATTCGCAGATCATAATGTGCCATCTCGAGTTTGTGTTCGAGATCGCAGGTCTTTCTTCGTGGTAAGTGTTGATCAGTGCCATCTCTATCTTCTCACATTCAAGTTCGATTGAAGATGATACTTACTGATGGAATCATTTGATTCAGGTATGCTAGGTTTTGTCTACTTTATCATTCTTAGATCAGATTGATTGAAGATCTGTTGATCGATTGAAGGTGATTTCGAAGTTCAACCTTCTTCAGCTCGGTGATTCAATGTCAGATTCATTCGGCGATTTCGAAGTTCTCTCTCGATTTCAAAGCTCGGTGATTTAATCTCAGATTCGTCCGATGAGGAGAGTGAGTACCATCATCTACCGAGGTGAGCACCATCGCTTTAGAAAATCTCAAGCTCTATATATCTCTCTCTCTCTCTCACTCTCAAGTTCTTCCTTCCCGTCGATTCTTCTCCTAGGGTTTTCAATCAATGTTTTGAAGAATTTTAATCTCTGTTTTTTATTGATCAGTTTGGATTGATCAATCAGTGTTTTACACATCTCATTTATTTTTCCCCAGATCACCAGAACTGATTTTTCAACCAGTGTTTTTTATTTTTCACTCTCTGTTTTTTTATTACCCTGTTTTAAACCCTAAATTACCCTGGTTCAAAATGACCTGTTAGATCTGGATACTATTGAACTAACAATATGTCTGTTTTCCAAGAATATTTTATTTTACTATTGAGCTCTTGTTGTCCTACCCAGATATTTGGCGGTGTGGGCTTTGCTTGTCTGCCATTGGGACTTATCTTTTCATTCTTTCGGCGTCCAAAAGCTGTTATCACTCGTTCACAGTATATTAAGGTACCTTTTGCATTGTGCTTTATGTATCCATATGAAATTACCTATTTATGCCTTCTGTATCAACGTAATGGTTATTTGCATGTTCAAGTTGATTATAGGCAATTGACTCGATAATTTGAAGAAGCAACTGAACTAGGTAAGAAGGCAACAGAATTGAAGAAAGCAGCTGATGCGCTTCATCAGGAGGAAAAGAGTGGCTCAAAAGGAAGGAAGTGGCGTAAAAATGTAAAGGCAATAGAAAAGGTACTAACCTTTATCAGTATTGTTAGCTGAAGGGTGCCTTGCCATGGCTAAAAGGGAAGGTGCATGGTTTAAGTCCACCCTAAGACATATCAAGAAAATTGGTACATCTTATAATTTGGTGTACTTCAGCCCAAAGTTGGTTTTACAGATGATGTAGGGTCTAAGATACAATATGTTGGATTTGAATATCGTTTCTGAGATTTGTAAAAGCTTCTTTTCTTCTGTTAAAATGTTTGCATCAGAAATTAATGTCATGAATCATGATCCAACTACAAGATTGTTTTCATTTAAGACATAACAATTGATAATTACAATTACAAGGTTTCCTGCTTTTTTTCCAATTGCTATTATATGCTTAGGGGCGTTTAGGGTTTGTAGAAATTACATCATTTTTGATGAAATTTGAGGTTTACATTGTTGGTTGACTTGTCTATGTATCCATGGTTAGATAGATTGGAATCGGGTACTGACTTATTCTTAACCTTGTAGGAGCTGCTTCTTCTGGAAGAAGATGTAAAGGCTTTAGAAGAGATGTATCCTCAAGGTGAAAAGGTGATGGTTTGAAATATTTTTAATGTGTTGACCTACACATTTTTTCAAAAGCAGTTTTTGAGAATATGTTTTTTGAAAAAATTTCAATAAAACTAAAAACTAATTTGATGAAAGAAATGAAAAAATAAAAAACACTCATCATTTTTATATGGTTTTATCTTTTTTTGGGTGTGGAAGTAATTTTTAAAAATCTGAAAATATTATTTTTGATGTTTCTTTTTGTCAAACTAATTTCTATTTGAAAAAAGAAAAAAGAAAAAAAAGAGAGATCTGATTTTGTCTCCTGACTTTGCTGCTTGATTCATTCAGGCGGAGACTGCATGGGCCATGACTGTTCTTGGATACTTGACCAAACTAGTGTTGGGGGTTTTAGGGTAAGTGTGAATTTTATGCATATCGTTAATTGTGACTTTGACAAACAAAATGTTATTTTGATTTCCTTGAAACTGTCATTTTTTGCGGTCTCTCCAGAAAATTTTAGATGAAAATTGTGTTATCACACCAAAAACAAAAAAAAAAAACAAACAAAAGGAATTTCAAAACATTTCTTATGGATAACATATGGATGATGTTTAGTTTCTAGTTATTTGTTCTGGCCTTTAATTTTAAACGCAATGTATTTGGGGATAGGGATAGGGAGCTTGCTTTGATGTGTATGAAGTATTATATTTCTTATGGGGATATTATTGTTGGGTAAATATAAGATGATCTACATCTCTTTCGTGTTGATTCTATTTGCTTTCTCTATGTTTTATCATATGCGTTTCTCCTATACCTTACTTCACACTCCACTATTCGTTTGTTCTTGGCATTTAGTTTAGGTGTGAATAAAGTCCAAATTCTCTCTTTGGGGCATGAACAATCAAGAAAAGTTCTATGCTCTAACTGTATGGAAATTCCTTGAAAGCTGAAGGACCTTGAAGGCTGAAAGACCTTAAAGAAAAACATTGAAATGCAATTTTGATGGCACCGTTAATACACATTAATAACATTGGCAAATCACCTAATTAGTTTATGGTTCTCTCTTAGATGATTTTGTTTGAACACTGTAGTTATTGAATTCTATAATGTATGCCAGTTTAATTCTAGTTATGACATGGAGATTTTGACACGGGTCTCTGATTTAAATTACAAAAGTAACATTTTGTGCATACTGTTATAGGGGGATTGTGCATGATAACTATGTTATTTGCTATGCTTCTAGCATATATTAGCATCAGAACTTCATGAGATATCAGAAAGCTCTGTGGCTGTGTTGGCTGCATTTAGTCGAGGATTTGAAAACTCGATTGTAGTGTTGTTCTTATCACAAGTGTGCCAAGGCAATCGAGTGGCTGCGCTATTGCTCAGGACTTCAACCCCTGCAGTTGTCATTTTCTTTTCTTCTTCCCTGCTTCCACAACCTGACTCTGTCAGCCCATATAGTAATTAGTTGAGTTGAGAGCTCCAGAGATGGTGAAATATACAGGGAAGACTCAATGGCTGAAACATTTCCAAGAGGAAATATTAGTTTGTCTTTTCCCTGGTGAGATTTTTCAAAAAGAATATTTGGAAAATTGGGGAAAAGTTAAGTTCATCTCTTTTCTTTTTCTTAACTCAATTGTGACATTGACGTAGCCGTAGGTGTAACAATTTAATCGCAACTGTTCAGCTAATTTTCAGAGTTCAAGAATGAGAGTGTGAACCCTGCTCTATTTCTATTAATTTAATCGCAAACATCCTAATCTCTTTTGCTTTATTTTTGATTTTAAACCTATGAATTACTGGTTTGGCGTCTTTGTTTACTTCATTTCTATATCCACTGCAAAGTCTCTGTATGGTTCCATGTGGAAGAGTTTACAAAATAAGCTGTGTAAATTGCATTCTTAATTAACCACAATTAACTAACACTTCACTTTTTTGGTTTCTTAACTATTATTTTGTTGTTATTGTAGGGTGAGGAAAAAACAAATGTGGCTCCTAATGGAGAGCTGGAGACAGAAGCCAAGGTTGTAAATATACCAAGTTCATGCTCCATGGAGTTTGATGCCCAAACTATGAATGATTTACCAGAAGTAGAAGTGATCCGTAAGTGTACTTGCCATTTCTTCAAGTTTTACTTTGGAGAATAAAAAAAATGGTCAGCAACTCTCAGTTATTGAAGCTAAACATTAATGAATTTCTTCAAGCTGTAAAATTTTCTATATGCAATGCTAGTAGTACATCTTTGATTTGTAACAGAACATACATGTGTTGCTCTAAGGGCTTCACTCTTCTAGTATTACCAAAATATCAACTTATATCAAACTTAGACACATGTATTGCCATATTTGGTATTGGCTGATGTATGGTGATTGTAATTGCAAAGGCGCTGGCAAATCCTGTGGCAAAATCCTGAAAAATATATGACCAACTCTAGAACATGAATCAGGTGTCTACAGGAGGTATTGTTGCATTTATGAGGTTCCTGGTTTTTGGTCAGGTTGTGTTTTAAGGTTGGAAGGTGAAATATGTTTGTTTTGGCGAGTTTGTGTTTAGTTTGAATGTAGACAACCAGTGGTTTTGAAATACTCGATATGTCTAGTTGCTTCAGAGCAAAATAAGATGTCAAAAGAACTCGGGCTCATTTAGGAAGCTACTATGGTGCGACCTTTTCTTTTTGTGCAGCTCCAGAAGAAGTTTCAGCTGTTGCTTGTGACGATAAACCAAATCGTTTGGAAATGGCTCAGCTTTATAATGAGGTAAAATCCCATTTATTACAGAATCAAATCATATATCTTACCTGATTTTGATGTCTATGAGAAGAAATATTATTCAGGAAATGATATGTCATCACTAAAGATTGTTTCTTAAATGTAGATGTGCAAAGTACTTGGACAAAATGCCAATGAATCAATGGAGGCATTTTTAGCAAACAAACCAGCAGGTTTCAAGTTGAAGACGATCTGCCTCTATGGGGTATGTATTAACAAATGATTATTAAAGCTTTTTTCACTAATTTTATAATTTGCATATAGGTTGGGGTAGAAAGTTCTGTCCTCTTCGTCTTCGAGGACTGTTTTCATGTCAACTTTTTCCCCTTACAAACACATTAATGTATACTAATTGGACGTTATTTTTCTTACTGTTTTCATGTCAACTGAGAGAATTAAATAATCAATGATATCTTCTAGGATAATGTAAAGCTCCTCACTCATTTGTATTTATTTCTTTTGAAGGTTTGGTAGAGGGAACTGCAAGCTCATCTTAAATTCAGATCGTTACATATTTGAAGAGAGAATCGAGGAGAGAATTTTTTATGGTTGTGCCTTTTTTCTACTTTAATATTATTTTTCTTTATGTTAACATAAGGGCTTCTTTTGTTTAGGTTGATTTGAAGGACAAGTGGAGAAATATGATACATTACTGACTCTTAAAAAAAGAAGATGGTCTGCAGTTTGTATAAACTCTTTACTTATCTAAAGAAGATGGTCTGTAGTTTGTATTATAGGAGGGTTCTTGCATGTTGATTGATTCTTCATAGTTTTCTACTCTACTTGATGGGTCTTCAAAAAGGAAAAAGAATATATTGATTGCTTGAATACAATGTTGGTGCATCAGATTTCTTCTTCTTCTTCTTCTACTATTATTATTTATTTATAATTTATAATTTATAATTTTTTTTAAACTTTATACCAAATGTGTTATGTGATGGATAGATGAGAGTGTAATCATGTTACTAATCGGTATAATAACATGTCAAGAGCCTTATTATTTTATTTTTAATTTTGTTTTCAAACTTAGTTTATTTATTATTTTAATAAACATCAATTATTAGTTCTTAATAATTGTTTATGACAGGTATTTTTTTCAACCATATAAAATTAGCACAACGTTAAAAATAAAAAAAATAAAAATAAAGGCTATGGCGGCGTTTTTGAACGTCACTATATCCCTACCCCAACGGTTAGATTTTTAAAATGTATAAATATCTTTAACGGCGTTTCCAAAATGTCGCTAAATGTCATAGTGACATCACAATACAATTAGGTAGGACATTTTGCGGCATTTAATATAACGATGTTTTTCAAACGCCATGAAGCTATAGCGACGGCCGCGTCGTCGGCGTTTGGTACTAAACGTCACAAAAATAATTAGCGACATTTTTAATACCTATAGCGGCGTTTTTAAAACGCCGCTAAAAATCGATTTTCCAGCAGTGGAGAGAAAGAGCAACGCAGGGAGAGAAGGGGACAAAAGAAAGAGAAGAACATAGATGGTCGACCAAGGTGTTCTGGGTTGAGGATATCTAAATCTTCTCTCTCTCTCTCTCTCTATATATATATATATACACTAGTGTAGTGATTGCCTCTGTCAATTCAACTTCGAAAGATGCATGCTCTATTGTGGTTCTTCTCTTTGATTTCGTCGATATGGGCATTCATCTTCACATCCTCTCTTCTAGGAATGCTTCAGCTTGTGTGCTGGAGTTTTGATTTGGGAGTACAGCAAGTTATGGAGCTTCTACCAGGAAGATCCTATGCACTCTTGTTGATTCCTCTCGCTCTTGCCGTGTATTCTGTCGTCTTTGTAGCCTGCTACCTTCCCATCTTACGCCATTGAAGGGAGCTTCTCACCTACCTCTCATCGATGGTAGGTGAGACCAGCCTTTTACTGCTGAAATTTCTAGTTAGCCTCCTTCTCCAGGCCATCTGGGTGGTGGTTGAAGACACCAAAGACAAGCTCTACTTGCCTCTCATTATGCTGATAGCCTTCTCCATTATCATCATTGTCAAAGTGAAGATACTTGTAAGACATGATGAGATGAAAATACTTGAAGAAGTAGCTGGCTCTTTTCTGCGATTCATCGTTGAAGCTGTTGAAGTTCAGAACTATGTTGGGGCTTACTTATGCATTTGCCCTACCGTGATTGCAATCATAGCAGTGCTCTCTCCTCCTTTGGATGCTGATGTGGTCCTTAGCAGATTTTTCACATCTGTTTATGAATCTATCGGTGGCTATTTTGCAGCTATAAGAATCGAGGTAAAATGTTTTTCCAAATTTTCGGTGTTTGTTCAATATAATAGGGTAAAACAATACAGAGAGAGATCAATCCACCCACTCATTTGTCAATTGTTTTCGTTATTATAATGTTTCTTGTTTTGGCAATGCAGAACTGATGGGGCTGTGACTTGTGATGGAGGGAGTAAGGTTCTACCATGCACTTGTGGATGGGGGATCAATTGCTCCTGCTTGTTTGCCTCTTTACTTTATTGTTTTCCTTACGGTCTATTTATAACTATTTAGCCAATAGATGATGGTTACATATGTCCTGTAGTAGGAATCTTATGTATATATATATACACAACAATGCTAGGTATCATGAAAATTTTTTCATAAAAATAATCATGAAAGTTTTGTGACCTTCGAATTATACATAGAATAAAGCACCACACACTAATCAAGGTAATCTAAGGATCATAAATCTTTCATGATCATTTTCATGAAAAAAATTTTATGAACCCTAACTTTTCTCATATATATATATATATAGGTAGTTTTGTTGCACAGTTAACTAGATGTGTGATTTTCCATGTTATGCCCAACTCTGAAAGGCTTGCCCTGTTTTGTCCTTCTATTGGCATGAGATTTAAGTACTGCTACAGATTTATCTATATATTATGCTAGCCCTCTTTTGAAATGTGTTGTGTTATTGATTTTATTAATCTGATGATTTAATTTAGGCTTTGTTTGTTTGACCATAATTGATCATCCAACTCCACTCTGAACATGCTCTACTATGGATTAGTTCCCAATTTTGTCAAATCCGTAGACACATAAATTTAAGGTCATTTGGGAGTTGATTTGAACTTAACCCAAGTCACACACAATTCACCAAATTCATACTAGAAGTTTTGGATAAGAATTTGGGACAAGTCTTGATTTAAAAAAAATGGTGAAGGTGAAGATCTGTTTGTTTTTTAATGTGAGATTGGGAGTGGACTATAATTTTTGTTGCAACCAATGAGACCCGTATTTGATGTTCCTTTGCTTAATATAGGAAATTGCTGCTAAAACTAAATGAGTTTCAAAGCGAATATTTAGCTGCTGGCAATTAATTAGGAGGATTGAATATGATTCACTCATTTTGATACATGTATTTCTAAACCCATCTGTCCATTCATCACAGGACAGAAAATATCCAAAAGTAGGCTTGAGAAAACAACTTAATTGATAGTAAGTAGTCCGGCATTAACAAAGTCGTCGGATTCACAACTTTATGGATCAAATCCTTGCGGTTGTGTGTCGTATTAGAAAATTATCATGTATTAATCACTCTTATTTTCATTTTAGTTGAAGACACAAAAAAAAAGAAAAAAAAAAGAAGAAGAATTGAATTCTGTGTAGCTGTGGTCAGCCACGTGAAGACAGCCCTCCTCTTCACCCACTACAAGAAGTATTTCATTAGTTGTGGCTATCATGTTCTCATCTCCCTTTGACTTACTGCTTTGGCCTTTATCTTTCCAGCTTGGGCAGGTCCTCTTTATGTGACCCCCTTGGCCACAGTGAAAACAATTAAAGCTAGAGTTTCCTCGACCTTTGTTGTCTCTGGATTTACTCTTGTTGTTCCATCTGCCTCTACTCTTGCTTCTTCCTCTGCTCTTTCCGCTACCTTTCTCTTTGTCTCTACCTCTTCTTTTTGTGACAAGAGCATGGCTCTAATTGCCTCTCGTGTCTTTCCTCCTTGTCTCTTCATTGTACATGGCGTCTATGACCATACTCATGGTCAGCTTCCCCTCTGGTGCAAAGTTGCTGAGAGAAACCACTAACGTCTCTCAATTGTCCGATAAAGAACTGAACAGTAGTACGGCTTGCATTTCATCGTCTAAAGGCATCTTGACAGTTGCAAACTGATTCACCAGATGTCACGACCCCAAACCACCCCTAGTAGTTTGGTGCCGTGATGGCCAGTAATCCGTAATTACCGAAGGGCAACTTCTAAAATTCACACACAATCAGAGTATAATATACGGGGCTAACAAATGCGGAAGCAATAATTCAAATACAAGTGGTCCATAAGAGCAGTACATAAGTCAAATGGAATGGCATACATCTTTACATAGCATTAAAACTTGAATACAAAAGTACATATTACATCTTGGCAAAAGGCTTCTCAAGCCAACATAAACAAAAACACTTGAGCCACAAATCATGAAACACAAATTAAGAATACAAAATCTTCAGATTGCCGACATCCTTACAGCCGACCAAACATGCATACAAAACATACATCTCGGCGTAGCCGACTTCTTGCTTGTTACCTACATATATACATAGGGAGGGTGAGCTTGGATACTCAGTGAATGGTACAAGTAATAAAGGGGTTACATGAATGATTCCCGAGGTCTTTCAAAACAATACATAATATATCTTGTCAAAACCATACCTATCATAGCTTGTACAAAACATGAGATAAATCTTTGT